AAGACTAGCAAGGAAAACAGCATTTCCAGCATGTGTTTAGATGTTTAGCTCGGGCACGGCTAAATATAGCTACAGACAAAATTATGGCATACTGTATTAAGTTCGTATGCATCTAGTGCAATCTATACATCCATTATTTTAGTTATGATAATAAGCACTGCAAGTCAAATTCTTATGCCAGAAGCTGACTGTGTTGTTCCAGATACTGATTGATATGATTGGCTCCTGTAGTAGCAGTGATGGATCTCCCACTGGTACTCTTCAGTTCATTTTGACACTGCTCCATTTGAACTGCAAAAAAAAAGGGAATTTCACCTGTTCTTCTTAGTACTTTGAAAAGCTTAGATCTGGAAGTGCTTGAATATGGACAAACTGAAATATATTTGCATTTCCTCCTCCTTTTTTTTTTTTTTTTTAAAGGGACATGATAACGTAATAAGACTTACATTTGCAAAAATGACTCATGTTTGGGGTGCACCAGGTTTATTTTTGCAGCTTTTGGGGTGTTGTTCAGCATAGTTTAAAGGTCAGACAACATAGTGATGTTTTGAATTATAAATTCTAAAGCTGAGAAAGACAAAACTGCAAATTGCTTTTTAAATTATAACCTTAAATAATAAAGTAAAATGTTCTCAAAGGAAGCAAATATTTCCCAACTTCCATTAAAACTGATGTTGTGCAAACCCTCTAGCAATGTCAAACTTGTTATTGAAGCCAACTTCTGCAGTGGCATCTGTGCTATAGAAATAAACAAAAGCTTAGTCCAGAGCACAGTATGAAATGAGGAAGGTGAGGCAAGAGAGACATTACAAGGACCTTTATTTCAAAAACGGAGATACTGAGACTGTAAGGGAAGCTTCCTAGTAAAGGGTGGAGGAGAACAATCAGTATACTCTTATGAACTTTTTCTGAAATGGTGGAAACTGAATTTTTTCTTTCTCTCTCAAATGTTTTCCAACAGTTTTCCTACTTTTGGTCTAATGAGTTAGCCTTTCTGATGCTTTCTGATCCATGACTTGGCTCTTTGGAAGCAGCATTTGTTATTTGTGCTTGTAACTAGTGCTTATTCTAGTTTGGTGTAACTTTGTTTTTTTCCTCTTTCTTTCCATCTAGACCATGCTGACCATATCTTGATTTCTTTCATCCTTTTTTTCCTTATGTAGTCTACCTTTGTCTGTTATTTGGTCCTATCCCTTCTCCTCTTCAACTTTTTTCTCCACCGTCTCAGTCTTCTTCCTTCCCACCCTCAAATGAAACATAAGAGGCAAAACAAACTTTTTGCATGGAAACTCAAAAAAAAAAAAAAGTCATGAAATGAAATAGAACTATTCCTGGAAAAAATGAGGTTTATTATTGAAGAGATGGAGATACATTGGAGCAATCTGGCTTCAGTGATTGTGTTTTGTATTTCTTGCCCCATACTACATAAAACCATTGCTCAGCTGGTGTGTTTCCATATAGCTGTTGAGCCACAGCTTGCTGATTGGAATGAGTCTTATGTAGATTGTAATTCAGGCTTGCCATGTGCTGAGTGTATTTATGGAAGGATTTATTTTCATTGTTAAAAGGTAATTTTAAAGAAGAAGGGCATTTGAAGACAATCTTTGTAAATGAGTCATAGTTTAAATTGGAGGATTTGTATCTTAATGTTGAGATTAATTATTCTATGTCTAGTGCAAGCATGCATATGTGCATAAAAAAGATAAAAATATGTACTATTTTACAGAAAATACGTTTTCTATATCTGTGTATTGTTCATTTGGCTCTTTTATAGAACTAATGTAATGCGGGAGATAGGACAACAATAACTGGCTAACTACCTTTACAGCATTTTTGTATATGTGGCCTTAAAATACTCTTACTTTGACTTTGAGTGAACTTTGTTTTTGTTAATACTCTGCCAAACTTATGTTCAATCCTTTTTACAGAATATATGTATCAAATTCTCTGCATTTGGGGTAATATTACAAACAGCTTAAGATGCACAGTCAGAAATTCCATCTGCATGGAATTGATATGCTTTTCTTTCTAGCACTTGAATTTTCAGCTGCTTTCCTTCTGATTCATCACACTTGAGTTCAGAAATTTGCATTAGACATGCTTTCCAAACATCCAGTGTGACTGCAGTTAGTGGGTAGTCTTGATCACAAGATGAGAAGCTACATTCAAATTCTTCCTCTGCTCATACAGTGAAAGGTTTCCTTTCTGTGTTGCTATTTTTACAGGTACAGATGCTGTGATTTACTGAATCAAATTGTTGAATAGAGAAGTGTCTCTGGGTGGCACAGAACTGGAGAAACATAAGACTTCTCAGATGCCATGATGATGAGCATTATGAGAACCTGCTGAAAATGCATTAGCAGCTTTTTCACTCATCTAATTTATACTTTATGTAAAAATAGTGACAGGGTTATTCTTTTTTTTTTAGTGCTGTCTACTTTCTGAACGTATTTGAAAGTAAGGTCTAGTATCAATGTGATGATTTTTGTTTTGGCTTTTATCAGTTAATGATGAAGTACTGTATGATTGAAATAATCTATGTTCAAAAAAAAATAAGCTGATATTTTTTAATCTATTAAGTTTCCCTATTTTGTGCCACTTTAGTCGCCGACTTTTTCCTCTTCAAATTGAATTTCAATTACAATTGTAAATTGAAATGTCAAACATTAGAGAATGCTGATATGGTACGCTAACAAATGACTTAGCTACTTTTACTATTCTTCTAGAGTATCCAGCTTTATTAAACGGAACCATTTTTTGTATTTTATACCTCAGATTCAAATACTGACTTTCACTAGGCTGCTTTGCTTTTAATGGCTAAAATTCATGCTTTTCCACAGATCCTTAATTTTTACTAATCTTATGTCAAAATGCAAATTTCTTTGAAGCAAAATGACTTTTTCTGCTGATGTAAAAGTGATACTGTTTCTTTTCCCAGATGTCAGTTAATAAAGATTTGCAATTTCTAGTGCCAAAAGAGCAGTTAGTTTTTCATCCACCAGAGCTCTGCTGTTTATTACAGGTTTCACTTTATTTAAAGCACTGTGATGTTCAGGTTTGTGTAAATTTAGGAAATGTTTCTACCTTATAAGGATTCAATAGTTTTACTGCAAGTAAACTTCTGTTGTCTTCCTGAATTTCTTTAATCCAGTAGGGAAATGTTATTAATGTGGGATAATTTTGCATGCTTTCAGATGCTAATGGTTAAACTGTTTCATGATTTGTACAGATAAACACAAGGACTGCTCTGGTGTAACTTTACATCTGACACATCAAAAGTAAGTATGTGTGAAAAAACTTTCCTATTATGACTTTTTTTTCCATCAGACCAAAGGCATTGAAACCCATTTAGATTCCTTTGAAAGATGTGAAGTAAAAGTATAATACATAATGCTTAATCCTGTCATGTATGTAAATGTTATTTTTGAAGCCAAGTATTATTATTTTTGAAGCCAGGTATTATCTCTTGGTAAAAGTTTTCTTTCACGTTAGGAAACTTCGATACCATGCTATCAGTATTGAATTAAAACAGTTTGAAAGCTTCATATTTAGCAATTTGTGACAAGGATAGAAATTAGGCAGATGGTTATTTTGTCCAAATTCACATACTTTGTAGAGGATGCTTTCAAAATTGTAGCTCGATGTAACAGGAGGAGGGAAGGAAAAGTGCTATGTAACAGCTCTTTTCTGTTTGTAAACTGGTTTTGGGAACAATCCAACATTGAAAAATTGGGGTTGTTAAGTAATATTGCACATAGTGTCACTCACAGCAGAAGTCTGCTTTTACGAAGGACTTGTTTAGCAGAGCTTGGGTTTTGAATTACAGGCAGCCTTTGATTGCTGGAATGTATCTTATGATGTCTGTGAACACTGTAATACCACCAGGTGAGAAAGGTAAGTTATAATTCTACAAAGTGATTATGTAATTTTGGCATCTGATTTCTGTTTTTTTTTTGTTTTATTTTCGTCTGCTGATTGTGGAAGAAAATTTAGCTGAGACTTGCTGAACTGTAGATGGAAGAGTTAATTGTTAAATGAAACAAATGATTAAAAAACAGTTATAACTTTAAAATGTATCACATTTACAGATGATTAGATCTACAGTGGCTGTCAGTTTTGAATAGAAGAATAATCATCTGTGTAATAGTGACAATTTCTAGGTTTTTAAGTGTATTTGTTTGATTATTTTTCTCTTTAACAGTATTTTGCAGAAAATCCCTGTTCCCCCTCCCCCAAAAGCCATAAAATAGATGTGTGTAACTTCTAAAGTTTCTTGACAGATGCAGATGAAAAAAAATCATTTGTGCTGTAAATTTTGAACTTCTAAAAATTCAATTTTAATAAATAAATATCTAAGGATCTGCTCTTTAAAAATTTTTATTTCTATGTTCCTATTGGGTTAAAAGGTCAAAGTGCTGAAAAAATATTGTGGAATAAAATTTTATTTGAAGTTCAGATTGGATATTCCCAATATTATTTCTTCAAACTAGCTTGGATCGTTCTATTTTAAGCAAGGTGAATACTTACCTTTATCTTCCTATGCCATACTGGGATTTTAAATTAGATATCTGAGGACTCTGCTTCTCCTGGTTACAGCTTACCACCTTTTCCTATTAGGCAGCTCAAGTGCTCAACTGACTCCAACTGTTAGGTGAATTCAGTGCCTTGAAATCTTTTTTTAAGATGAATGGAAACTTAATGTATTTTGCTCTTCCATATAAAAACATACCAAACTGTGGGGGTTTTTTTCCTGTAGAAATTTTTGGTTAATGCAATAATTACATTTGAAGCTGTAGGGGGTACGTGAAGAAGGGGGAACAAAAATAGTTCCCTACCTGTTGATAGCTCTTTTGATGTTCAGTCAGATTTGCAGGCCTTAAGTAATGCATCAGGTCTGATATGATCAGTGATGAGTCAGCCAGTCCCCAGATATTTCTCTAGGAGGTATCTGCAGAGGAATTTCTTTATGGGCTTTCCCTTAGCTACTATTTCTGCACCTTACACAACAACCAACCTGCAGATGTTGCTTGTGCAGCGCTCGTCTGCCCAAGTCTGCATCTAGTTTCGAATCTTTAAGATGGAGCTTGTAACCTCATGAACCTAAAGTTAGGCCTTCATTTATAATATATATCAGTTTATTTTGAGTTCCTTCTGATTCGACTTTCATGTGTATGTTGATTTTAAGTGTCCCTCAACATAGTCTATGAGCAAACGCGTAATCTTACATTTGGGATGTACATCATCACAGAAAGTTATTTGCAAGTGACTTGTACTTGTGTATTTATTAGTTTTTCTTAAGAAGAAGTCTTGAGGTAGCTACTACAGAAATGCAAGATATTATTCAGCATTTTTTGAAATTGTTGCCCTTTGTAGGTATACTTTTTGTATGTTACTTTCACATTGAATGAAATACAGTAGTTGTCACTTTCCTCAGTTCAACAAATAATGTACTTTAAACTTGTTTATTGCCATCATATTTTAACAGTGGTTGATGCAGATATTGCCTGCCATTACAAAAGATTTCCAATGCACCTTTTTGCCTACAGAGTTCATACACACAGACTAGGTAAGAGTTTTATTGCAGTATTAGGAATATCAAGAATTTAATAGAGAAATACTAAAACTACTATTGGTTTTTCTCAGAACTATATCTGATGTTCATATGCGCATTTATGTGTTACAGGTAAGGTAGTAAGTGGATACAGAGTGAGAAATGGTCAATGGACACTGATTGGTAGACAAAGTCCACAACTACCACAGGTTGGTTGGCTTTTTAATTCTAACTTTAAATTAAGCAGATTAACTAGCGCTTATAGCCATAGGACTTCTGTTATGAAATTGTCTTTGGTGTATGGTGTTGTGCCACTAGAAATGATTACTGTGAAGTATTATTGTGACATTATGATGCAAAAATAACAATGCATTCTTTTTTTCATAACTGTTACCAATTTCTTTACCAGTTTCAGCTGTTACGCTCTCCTCTCACACACAGTCACTCACCCACTCACTCTCTGTGCCTAAGAAGCTAAGAGGTTAAGACATAGGAAAGGGGCATCTTTATTACCCTCCCCCCTTTTTTTTTCCCCCCCTTTCTTCATGGTCTAATTTTCTAACTGCTCAGAAACATGGAAGGGAATGCTAGCTGCTCTCTCCCACTTCCTCTACTTGCATATTGTTTCCTTGGTGTTGCATTTTAGAAAGCTGCTAATGCAGGCAGAAAAGCCTTGTGAGCAGGATTGAGAATCTTCCGTTTTATACCCCATGTACATTTGTAGCACTTAGTAAAGCTATCTTGAAGAGTAAACATAAGAACAGCAAATGCTTATCTCAAAAAAGATCTATAAAAATGTTCAGATTGGGATAAACTAATTCATGTTACCAGATGGATTAGTGGTAGGGTGCTGGATCAGGTTAAGAGCTGGTAAGGCAGGCATAAGGCACAACAAGTGCAAGTTTTCAGTATTCCACGTGCTTTGTCTTTGATACTTCTGTGCTGAAGGAAGAGGGGGGTGGTTCAGGTTTTTGTGAAGGGAGTTTGAATAGTCCAAATAAAACTTTTTGAAGTTACTTTTGAGCCTCGTAGTACTGTTGTCCTCGTGTGTATATTCACGTAAGTAACGTGAGCCACTGTCAATAATGCTGCTGGATCATCCTCCCTTTCAGGCGTTCTATTCAGTGGAGCATCCTGTAGATGTTCACTTTGATGATATTCTAGCAGCTAGATGCGTGTTCAGTGGTGAAGGCAGAACTACCGAGACACATATAGGGTAAGTTTTCTCTGTTTTCTCCATTCTTCTAACCACTTTTTTCAAAGTACTGAGTATGTGTAGAAATGTACTTGTGTTTCTTGTATTCTGCCAAGATAGTTACAACAAGCTGTTCCATTCTCTTGGAATGGTCTGTTTTGCTCTCCAGTTTCTAAAGGTTTAACTTTAAGGCCTATTCTCTACAAAATTCATAACTTCGGCTTTAGTGAATAATCACTTTTTTGAAATGTTCAGAGCATTTCTCAGGTGAAGCTATCCTGTCAGTGCTCAGATGTATAAAAGTTAGGCTATTCTGCAATTAGAGCAGGTTTCAAAATCTCACTTTTTTAAAATATATTTTAAAATAAATTTAAGATATTGGCATTTTAAAACAACAAAACAGTGAATCCTCACAACTGCTCTTGGTTATTTCAGGAAGAAAACCTATGCAAGTTCCTAAATTTCTCATAAATTTTGGCCCATCTTGAAATCTCACCATAAAAGGTCAGAATAAAGTGCCAGTTTCCCTTTCGTCAATGTAAAAGTCTGCAGGCTTTTATGAAGAATAGTTAAACCATAAATGACTAATAAGTAGAAAAATCTGAATTGTTATTTGTCAGTGATGCTATTCAGCCAAAGATGACAGACCTCTATAAGATGAAGTTGGCATGTGTTACAGTAAAAACAGATACAATAGTCTCTTAACTGAGCCCAGTTCTTTAAACTATCCCGTTGGATACCTAGAGATATGAAGACACCCTGCAGAAATCTCTCCATTCTGAGAGCAGATGCTGCAGCAGCTCAAGGGACAAATCCGGTAATGTGCTGAGTACCTTTATGTTATACATCAGTAGAGGGTTAAGGGCTCAACACGAATGAAAACCCTTTCAGTGAGTAGTACTTGAAATGCTTATGAGTAGCAGCTGAAGTAGAAACAAGTATTTGAGAACAAGTTTTTGCTAAGGTCATAAAACTAATAAATAAAAAAAAAAATCTAAAACTTTAATTTAACTGTAAACTTTTTTTAAGTTCTAGAAATTCCTGTTGTGCTTCTAATAATCTTTACAGTTGAGAAAATCGTCCTAGGACGATTACAGGGGGTTTGTTGGTTGTTCTTTTTCAAATCCTTAATATCCTTTCAAGGGAAAAGAAGTGGTAGAAACAGAAGTTAAATCCACAAGTACACTTTTACACTGTTATTACATAATTTCTGCTGGTTTTGCTTTTTTGAGGAAAAACACGTGAGCATTATAAGCAAATGTTTAAATTATTGCACTAAAGACTGGATATTTTGAAGTATATATGGATGCAAAATATGAGAAGACAGTTATCACCATAATATGAAATAGATGCATGAAAATCATACAGCTGTATTCAGAACAGTGCTGGATGTATGAAAAGATACAATAATACAGCTGAAACAAAACATATGCATATAGTTTAAATCGTGGAAAATATTGCCCTGACGTTGCAAAAGAACCTTAGAGTCCTAAATGTAAATAATGAAAACCGGGGAAATGCAAATATATGTGACCAGGGAAGGAAAATGCCATTAGCCACAGAAGCTGCTTGTTAATCCAGCTGGAATGTAATGTATTGTCTGAAACTCCAACAGGCTGAAAGCAGTGCAGCCTGTGTCTTCCCCTTTCGACATATGTTTAACAGGAATTATACCATTCAAGGGAGGATCCTTACATTATATTCACGTTCCTACAGCAAAACTTTTAATATTAAATATTATCTCTTTTTTGGATGCTAAATCCCCTCTTATACTGACAGATACTGGAGTCCAACGGTGAAGTGAATGATTCCTAAAAGCTTAGGCAGAGCCTGCAGAGACAGAGACTGATTTTTTTTTTTTTTTTTCCCCCCTGACCTCCAAGGGACACTAAATTTTCAAAGCATGGAAAAATTTAATTCCTCTTTTGAAACAGTCTCCATTCCCATGTTCCCTCCCTCCCTGCCTCCCTCCTTCCCTCTGATTGGTGTCATTATTGTTGCTATGGAGAGTAAATGGATGCTGCGTGATGCTGCTGGAAAAGTCAGCATTGACGTCTTTTGCAAGCAGCTAATAGTCCACCCCCATATCTTTTTATGAGTGTGGGCTCACTGGTTAATTGTGAAAGCTAATTAAAAAATCTTAATATAAAGCCCTTTATTTTGTGAACCCTTCTTTACAGGACCTAGTTTATTCCATTGCCAGGGTTGTAACTATGTATAGAAAGCATAGGCATAAGAAAACAAGAGAAATGGATCACGTCTATAAAGAGGCCATGTATTATCTGCTTTATAAAATAATAGTTTTCAGAAAAATTTCTATTTCACACCAGCTGGTTTTTTCCCTTAAAGACAGAATGATGTTGCAATACGAGAGCGAGCCTTTTCCGCTTCAAGTGCGTGTATAACGCATATCAAAGAACTTAATTTTGCTAGTTTTGAATCATTCCTGTTGCACCAATGTTTTTGCCCACAGAAGCCTGCGATGAAGTTCCAGTCAGGATGGCTATCTCCTTGTTAGGAGACATTTACGGTGTCTTAATATGTAATGAAATTCAGTGTTGCTGCCTTACAACGAAGGTGGCTGGGGAATAAATGGAATGGAATAAATGGAAATGGAATAAATGCGCTTGTATGTGGAAAGAGACTGTCTTCAGTGATAGCTGCTGAAATTAAACATAGACCTTATTTGCATGGATTTAGGTTTGCTCTAGTTTGGCAGAGATATATGAACCGTAGAAGAATGACTGATACAGTTCCATCTTCTTTCACCAGAACATCTGCGTAGTTGATGGCACACCAAGGAAAGTCTTGTATGGGAGAAAAGAGGGGAAGGAAGAACAGTCTAAATATATGCTGATGTCATTTTCTGTAGAATTAAAATCTAAATCTTAGCAGTTTCTGAGAAACCTGGGGAGTTTTTGTAAGCTCATCTGCTCTGGTATAAATAAAAAGCAACTTCAGTTACTGGTTCCCTGCAATGAAGCTATGCAATGTTTTATTGTGGGGACTTCTAACACTTCATTGCCATGTTTTAATACTATGTTAAACAAGTTAGAATTGAATGAAGGCTATACTCAGAGCTTTTTTGTTTTCCCCCTCTGCTCTATCTTTTTTGTTCCTTTTAGGGGAACAGCCAATGATGAAATGTGTAATTTTTACATTATGTACTATATGGAAGCCAAACATGCTGTCTCATATATGACCTGTACACAGAATGCAAACCCTGAGATGTTCAGGAACATACCACAGGAGGCAAATACTCCTATTTTGGTCAAGTCTGATATGCTAAAGATGACACATGGACATCATGAAGGTGAAAAAAAATTGGAATCCATTTTATTTAAGTCTTTTCTCACTGATGTGTTTGTATTGCTTTAACGTGCTAAATTTTTCATAGAAAGGAAATGCAATTCTGAATAAAACCTAAGTTGCTAGTGGTAGAGCATCATGGGATCCCACTTCTCTTTTTGGGGAAAATGTCTGCCATTGTCTTTTGTCCTTTTCTTCCTGTTGCCATCTTTTCTTCCAACTTCCAACAATTTTTATAGCTACGTGAGCTATGTATCCAAGACACTAGCCTCTTTACTATGCCACATCTCAGTATGTTATATTAACAATTTCTTAATAATGCTTTAGTTCCTGTCTATTTCCTGTGAAGTTGAAGCGTGACATTTTCATAATATTCTAGGTCCTGCTGCCTTCGTGTAAAGGAGTGTGTTTACATTAAGCACTGGTATGCACATATATTGCACCAGCAGTATTTTACAGAAATAAGCTGACTGGTATGTCTGTATAGTAAAGTACAGTTCCACGCAAGACACTAAATATCAGAGGCAGTATAGTTACATCAGTGGCCTGGAAAAATAGTAAGTAGTTACGGCAAAATAATGTCTGGACAGAACTACGTGGCTGCTCGTTCTAGAATTAATTCTCTTGGAGTCATTTGGGGTATCTTTGGGCAATTCATTGCATACGATAGATACTAAGACTCCTAAAAGTTAAGGTATATCTCATTCCAGGTCTTAAGAAATTGTAGGACTACCTGAAAACCACAGAAACATTATGATTTTTTTTCACTGACTTAGTACTGAGTTGGGATTGCCATTTAAATTAAGCGTTAAGCAACTGATCAAACAGGTTTATGCTACCTTTTCACAAAGGTTTTGTGAAAATCAGTGCTTTACTCAGCGTTTCTTGGCAATTGTATGTTGTGTATATTGGCTTTAATTTTGTGGCTTCAAATAAATACAGTACCCTACCTATTTTACTTCAGCTGTAGAATGTGTCTACTTACATAGAGATGGATTAACAGGTGGTTGTGGAGGTCTAAATTTATACCCGTACCTCTCCTGCTCCCTCATTAAATATACAAATCTTAATCTTTTATTTCAATTGTTTTACTACTGCACTGCCTTGTGCCACTATTATAGATAGATAAAAGTAGCAAATACTCATTTCAGAAGGATCTTTTTACCTTACAAGAAAGATGCTTAACTCCTTTCACTCGTGGAGGTTAACAATATATTCTAACCTTTTTTTTTCCTTTTAGAAAGCAAGGATGCTGATAAAAATTCCTTGCAGCAACAGCCCAAAAGAGAAGAGGAGGAGGTTTTGGATCAGGGTATGTACTTGTTTATATCTCTGTCAAATAAGGGACTCATTAATTTAAAATGCTGGTAAAGCATATCCTGATTGTTAAAGATTATTGTAGTTTTTTAATCTGTTTTCCTTTAACTGGTACAATTTAAAATGTTCTATATGATTAATTATGTTGACTGTTACATAACAAATAATTCATGAAAAATTACTCCACCACCAGTCTTTAGCCTTGTAGGTAAAATTTATTAGCGCATTTTAATCTCATTAGATTTTCCTGCACTTGGTTTAATTTTCTAAAGGCGATTGTAATTTATCTGTAAGTGCCTGTAAGCGTCCTAAGGAATGGACGCATAGAAGTAGTGGCAGTCCTACAGGATGAAAATTCAATGCACGTTCTCTAATGTGGTGAGTTAGGTGATCTGCTATGAGTTCTTCTTCTGCTATTTCTTACACTGTGTATGTGCTAGGGAATTGTATGCCCACATGCTTCAGTATTGATACAACATGCAATGGCTTGAGTGTGGTATGTTTGTTTAATGCTGAATCCTTTTTCATTAACTTTGTATATGTGTGCATATATGCATAAACATACACGTGTAAATACATATAGCATTTGGCTGCAGAAAAAAATCCATGCCTCTTGTCATAATGCTCCTAGGAGTATGCTGAATGTTATTTAGGTTTCAAAGATGTATTAAAATATGACTGTACTTTAAAGTTCTTGTGGATTATATGTCAGTAGGTATATATTGGTTTGGTATCAAGATTTTTCTTCACACGGAGAAGACCGTGCTTGATATTGGTTTGTTTTAACTGAACGTCATTGGGCTTGAAAGAGTATAATGAATCTGGACTGCCACAGAAGAGTGGAGTCATAAAATATACATGAAAGGCAAGATCCTGAAAAGCATGTTCAGTATTAGCCTTACTCTCATGGTATTTAAATAGTAAAATTCCTTTTGCGTTTAGCGAGGGAAAAGATTAGGCCAGTGTTTAGTGTTTTTGATAACTTCTCCCAAAGGGGTTAGCCACTGTATAAAGTTAGCTCAAATAATTAAGTTACAGTTATGCAAAATCTGACTTCTAGAGTATTAGAGCATCTTGACTGAAAGTATCTTAAACTGCCAGAGACAGTATTTACAACTGTATATTTAAAACTTATCTTAGTTTTCTCAAGATGAATATTTCTAGAAGTAACTGTAATTCTAAAAGTCAGCGCATACTATCTTTGATTTTTTAAGCCCATTCCAGTGGAGAATGAGCTAGCCACTTATAAATATCTATCAAGATTTATGCTGACAAGCTGCTTCACCTTTATGTCACTGGTAAGTGCATTAGTATTTGGCTGAGGTTCTTGTTATCAGTGTTTGAGTGAAGTCATTAATATTTGAAACGAACTAATGTTGTTTCTAACTGCAGTTGTAAAAATCTTTTTCAGTTGTCTTTGAAAGGTGTTTCGAAGCCCAGTATCTGCAATGCAGTCTTGTTTGCTGAGACCATTACTTGGTATACATCCTCATCTAACATGTTTCTATGGAAACGGGCTTCATTGTGTTGTCCGTTTGAAGTTAGTTGGGTTGATGATGGGAGATATGAAAACACAGTAGTTTCAATGAGACAATGTGGTTCCGTGTTTATAATTGTTAGTTCAAGGTAAATTCTCCTGTTGTTTATAGCAGCATAGCTCTGATTTTGTCATTATAGCTCTGACTTGAGTTATGTACATGCAAGCAGATATAGCTAAGGAAAAATCAGATCAGGGTTGTTTTTGTTTTTCTGGAGTTTTTTTTGTCCTCAAAGAGAGAAGGATGTGTCACTGTTTAAGAAAGTGGGTTTTGACCCTACAAGCACAGAAGCAGCTGGCAAGGCACGCTGGGAAAATCGGGAGCCTGGAAGTGGTCTGCTAAAATCTGCCTGTAAAAATTGCATGCAAATTGGAGTCCTGCTTCTAGCTCAGTGGTGTGGGACAAAGTGGTTTATGTAATTGCATTGCCAAATTGTCCGTACCTTCCAGTAACTTTAATGAGCGTCAGCCAAATTTGAAAGGGGTCCTTAATGACATGAGTGTTCCCCAGCTTGGGGGCAGGCAAAAAAAACCCAACCCTTGTACACACCCGTACGCGCATGCGTGCGCGCACAAAGAGGCACATAAATACTTCCACTGAGGTAAAGGCTATAGAATGTACTTTCCGTTTATGGTCTGGCATGAAAAACTCTGTATGAGAAGCTTATCTTCAAGAGACAAATCCACCAAAGCTCAGGCTTTGATTAGTTCTACTGCTGCTGAGCTGTTGCTTAGTAAATTCAGCCTTTGATTAGCTCCAAAGATAGCACTTCAGTGATTGTTTTTCCGTAACTCTGTGTTTTGCCTCCCATATTTAAAAGATTCTTTTTTTTTTTCCTTGATGATTCATTATCTTGTGGCAACTTTGTTTCCCTTCTTAGTTTCAGATAACTGAAATAAACACTGTTTGTTCTGAAATGCTAAGATACTGTTAAATAACGTCCTTAAAATTCTTACAAATCTGAAGAATAAAGAGGATAAAGGGATGATCAAAGAGACAGTTTGGTACTAAATCTATGCGTTTACCTCCAAATAAAAGTTTTCCCTAAGTAAAAAAACAAACCAAAAAAAAATGAAAAAACAAAAAAACCCCAAAGCCTACTATATGAAAATCTCTCTGCTAAGAATGTTTCTATAGAATGAATATATAATTGAATGAAAGAATATATTGATTGAAATGAATAGGTATATCATGAATATATAAAATGAAAATAAGATTACCTGTGCGTGGCTTTAAAAGATGTACTTTCTTCTATGTACAGTCAATTCATTATATTAACACCTCTGGGAGTTACCATGGTTTTTACTGTAAATTCTCGATTCACACGTGAACCAGTTCTGCCACCTTTGCTAATCAAAAGCACATTAATAAGCCGTGTAAATATGTTGAAATAAATGGCGATCATCCCAAAGTGAGCCGTCATTCAGCATGAGCAAAGACTACAAAGCTAAATTCCTTTAATGTTAAAATTAAACAAAACTTACTTACCTTAATGAAGCCAACCTTGCTATATGGTTTTTGAAGCATTAATGACGCTGTCAGGTGAGGAAAAACTGTTGATAGAAAGCTAATTATTGCAGTAAATGCAATTAACTGAGACATTTGTGCGTGTTTCAGTGTTCCCTGTTCCTGCAGAAGCGCAAAGTGCCTTCTGTTCAGCAAAACAAATATTATTTATATATATTTTCTGTTCATCAATAGAAGCTTGAATAAATTGGATTCAACAGATAGCGTACTGAAAAGCCATTATCTGTTCGTAGCATTCACCGTACTGTCTGCTAGTTATCTCTTCTCTGCTTGTGGAAAAAAGGCCTCAATGTGTTTCGTTCTGTTTGTTCCAAGCTCTGCCTGCGGTAGTCTGTGTGGCAGAGTATAATCAATCTTTCTCCTCAAAGGTTAACGCGAGCTACTACATTCCCAAGATGCAGTGGATATGACAAAAGTACAATTTGTAAGAGGAAAACAGTGCATGACCTCTGCTAGTTAAAGGTCTTCAAACACCTCTGTGCAGCAGAGTAATTCAGCAGTGGTGTTAGGCTAACTGAAGAATTAGAGGTGATATGTTGTACTGAACAAAAAGGGCAACAGCAGTTGCATTGCAATGGCACAGTTTCTGTAGAAGAGTACTTACTTAAAAGGTGTAATTGCGTGCACTAACATACTTTTTCATTCATTTACATATTTGAATAATATATGCTTATATTTGAATAGTATATGCTAGCTACTGTAATTGAAAAAACTAGTTGACCAACACACATGCACTTTGTATACTACAGAGAGCTTAGGTTTATTTTGAAGTACAAGCAGCAAGGTACCCTTTACTATCAGTATAGTCAGCTGCTGTACCTGAAGGCTGTCTAGATGCAATGAAAGGAGTTGTGTCTTAGTAACGAACACAGAAGATATAGGTGATGATTAATCAAGTGCCTATTATTTCCTATATCTCATTTTTGTGCATTAGATGTAACCAAAAACTCTTTTGAAACAGAAAGAAAAGGCAAATACATTTTCTAGTAAAGTGAGTATAATTATGTTTAAACAGTTTTTAGAAAATGTCAAGGCTGACTTGAACTGAAAATTCACTTGCAGCACAGAAACTAAAAATGTTAACCAAAAATTAGACTTTTTTTTCAGAAAGGCATGTGCATGCACATGTATTTTTTTATTTATTTACATATACACAAGAAAGAAAGATGGGATTTTCATCTTCCTGCTATTAATGTTGACTGTGACAGTAACAAAAGCAAACTCTTACTTGTGTCTGGAAGTTACTACTAACAAGCAACTCGTATGTTTTTGCTGCTTGTGATGGAATCTGAAGCAGAAGTCAGGGTTGTCATTCTCATGCTGTCGATATTGGTCAATTGTACTGGCAATATACTTTTTTCTTTTTTTTTTTTTTCCAGTTAACACTATTTCCTGATTAGCAAGAGCACAAATTATTCCAGGAAATCAAATGGTAGAGTTCAATACAGGTATACTTAAGATCTGTCTTTCTGAATAACGCAGTTTGGCTCATGTGACATCCCCTTTCCACGGCTGTGGCTTTTAACCAAAATCTCCTTAAACCTCCTACATTTAAAATTAATATTACAATTTGAGACCAGCAATCAGAAGCTTAGTTTGCATAACGGTGATCTTGAATTATGTGCTCATAGGATTGGTGTCCAGGTAGTGAAACAGGATGATGTATAGAGAAAGACGCCACAGGTTGTCTACTTAATCATTTTGGAGATTAGAAAGTGTGTAGTGAGTAAAGCAAAGGATTACTTAAAGAATACAGCTCCACGGTGTAAGGCAGTTTAATGCCATCTAATAAAAGCGTATGTTGCTCCAGCCTCCATCAGGGAGTTAGTGATACCAGGTAACTGGGTACCTGTGAGAAGTCTGATTTTCTGATCTGTGCGCCTCATCTTTCAGAAGGAACAAAACAACTGAAGTTAAATCTTGTAGTAGT